TTTTCTAGTCTCTTCGGTTGGTCCAATGGACCGGTATCGATTGGGATGATTGCGTGAACTGAACACTTAAATGCTAAGTTTTTATTCAATTTTGTTCTAACCGATGTAGGATTCGTGTTATTACCACGTTCCTTGTAAGCCACAGTTGAATTGGTTGGACTGATTTACAGCATCATAAACCAATCTTCACTCCTATCCTGAGTTGACTTGATATCAGTTTGCTTTTTCTATTCTCTTCGGTTGGTCAACTGGACCGGTATCGATCGGGATGATTGCGTGAACTGAACACTTGAATGCTAAGTTGTTATTCAATTTTGTTCTAACCGATGTAGGATTCGTGTCATTACCACGTTCCGTGTAAGCTACAGTTGAATTGATTCGACTGATTTACAGCATCAGAAACCAATCTTCACTCCTATCCTGAGTTGACTTGATATCAGTTTCCTTCCTCCAGTCTCTTCGGTTGGTCCAATGGACCGCTATCGATTGGGATGCTGGCGTGATCTGAACACTTGAAATGCTCATTTGTTGATCAACTTTGTTCAAACTGATGTTGGTTTCGTTTCATTACCTCTTTTTTGTCAGCTACATTTAAATTGGGTCGACCGATTTACTGCATCAGCAACCATTCTTCACTCCTATCCTTATTTGATGTAATTGCAGTTTACTTTCTCCCTTGTCTTTGATTGGTCCAAGGGACCTGTATCGGTCGGGATGATTGAGTGAACTCAACACTTAAATGCTAATTTGTTATTCAATTTTGTTTTAATTAATGTAGGATTCGTGTCATTACCGCGTTCCTTATAAGCTACAGTTGAATTGATTCGACTGATTTACAGCATCATAAACCAGTCTTCGCTACTCTACTGAGTTGATGTGATTGCAGTTTGCCTACTCCACTCACTTCGGTTGTTCCAATAGACTTGTATCGATTAGGATGGTTGCATGAACTGAACACTTGAATGCTAGTTTGTTAATCAACTTTGTTCAAACTGATGTGGGTTTTGTTTCATTACTTCTTTTTGTCAGCTACATTTGAATTGTTTCGACAGATTTACTGCAAAACCAATCTTCACTCCTATCCTTAGTTGATGTGATGTCAGTTTGCGTTCTCCATTGTCTTTGATTGATCCAAGGGACCTGTATCGGTCGGGATGATTGAGTGAACTCAACACCTAAATACTAATTTGTTATTCAATTTTGTTTTAATTATTGTAGGATTCGTGTCATTACCGCGTTCCTTCTTGGCCACAGTTGAATTGATTCGACTGATTTACAGCATCATAAACCAGTCTTCACTCCCATCCTGAGTTGACGTGATTGCAATTTGTTTTTTCTAGTCTCTTCGGTTGGTCCAATGGACCGGTATCGATTGGGATGATTGCGTGAACTGAACACTTAAATGCTAAGTTTTTATTCAATTTTGTTCTAACCGATGTAGGATTCGTGTTATTACCACGTTCCTTGTAAGCCACAGTTGAATTGGTTCGACTGATTTACAGCATCATAAACCAGTCTTCACTACTCTACTGAGTTGATGTGATTGCAGTTTGCCTACTCCACTCACTTCGGTTGTTCCAATAGACTTGTATCGAGTAGGATGGTTGCGTGAACTGAACACTTGAATGCTAGTTTGTTAATCAACTTTGTTCAAGCTGATGTGGGTTTTGTTTCATTACTTCTTTTTTGTCAGCTACATTTGAATTGGTTCGACCGATTTACTGCACAGAAACCAATCTTCACTCCTATCCTTAGTTGATGTGATGTCAGTTTGCTTTCTCCCTTGTCTTTGATTGATCCAAGTGACCTGTATTGGTCGGGTTGATTGAGTGAACTCAACACCTAAATACTAATTTGTTATTCAATTTTGTTTTAATTTTTGTAGGATTCGTGTCATTACCGCGTTCCTTGTTAGCCACAGTTGAATTGATTCGACTGATTTACAGCATCATAAAGCAGTCTTAACTCCCATCCTGAGTTGACGTGATTGCAGTTTGCTTTTTCCAGTCTCTTCGGTTGGTCCAATGGACCTGTATCGATTGGGATGATTGCGTGAACTGAACATTAAATTTCTATTTAGTTATTCAATTTTGTTCTAATTGATGTAAGATTCTTGTCATTGCCACTTTCCTTGTAAGCTACAGTTGAATTGATTCGACTGATTTACAGCATCAGAAACCAATCTTCACGCCTCTCCTGAGTTGACCTGATTGCAAGTTGCTTTCTGCCGGCTCTTCGGTTGGTCCAATGGACTTTTATCGATTGGGATGATTGCGTGAACTGAACATTTGAATGCTAATTTGCTATTCAATTTTGTTCTAACTGATATAGCATTCTTGTCGTTACCATCTTCCTTGTAAGCTACAGTCGATTTTTTGAATGATTAAGAGAGTCAGAAGCCAATCTTCACTCTTCTGCTGAGCCGTTGTGATTACAGTTTGCTTGCTACATCTTCATCGAATCCTTGTTTGTCAATCAGTTTTTTTTTTCGACTGATAAAGGCTTTGTGTCACTGCCACATTCCTTATAAGCTACAGTTGAATTGATTTGACTAATTTACAGCGTCAGAAACCAATGTTCATTCCTCTCCTGGGTTGATCTGATTGCAGTTTGCTTTCTCCAGTCTCTGTGGTTGGTTCAATGGACCTGTATCGATTGGGATGATTGCGTGAACTGAACATTTAATTGCGAATTTGTTATTCAATTTTGTTCTAATTGATGTAAGATTCTTGTCATTGCCACTTTCCTTGTAAGCTACAGTTGAATTGATTCGATCGATTTACAGCATCAGAAACCATTCGTCACTCCTCTCCTAAGTTGACATGATTGCAGTTTGCTTTCTCCCTTGTCTTTGATTGGTCCAAGGGAACTGTATCGGTCGGGATGATTGAGTGAACTCAACATTTAAATGCTAATTTGCTATTCAATTTTGTTTTAATTAATGTAGAATTGGTGTCATTACCGCGTTCCGTGTAAGCCACAGTTGAATTAATTCGGCTGATTTACAGCATCATAAACCAGTCTTCACTACTCTACTGAGTTGATGTGATTGCAGTTTGCCTACTCCACTCACTTCGGTTGTTTCAAGTGACCTGTATCGGTTGGGGTGGGGGCTTTGTTTCAAGTGGCCTGTATCGGTTGGGGTGCTGGCGTGAACTGAACACTTAAATGCTAATTTGTTATTCAATTTTGTTCTAACCGATGTAGGATTCTTGTCATTACCACGTTCCTTATAAGCTACAGTTGAATTGATTCGACTGATTTACAGCATCAGAAACCATTCTTCGCTCATCTTCTGAAATGACGTGATTGTAGTTTGCTTTCTCCGGTCTCATCGGTTGTTCGAATAGACTTGTATCGATTGGGTTGGTTGCGTGAACTGAACACTTGATTGCTAGTTTGTTAATCAACTTTGTTTAAACTGATGTGGGTTTCGTTTCATTACTTCTTTTTTTGTCAGCTACATTTGAATTGGTTCGACCAATTTACTGCACAGAAAGCAATCTTCACTCCTATCCTAATTTGATGTGATGTCAGTTTGCTTTCTCCCTTGTCTTTGATTGGTCCAACGGACCTGTATCGGTCGGGATGATTGAGTGGACTCAACACCTAAATACTAATTGTTATTCAATTTTGTTTTGATTATTGTAGGATTTGTGTCATTACCGCGTTCCTTCTGAGCCAGAGTTGAATTGATTCGACTGATTTACAGAATCATAAACCAGTCTTCATTCCTATACTGAGTTGACGTGATTGCAGTTTGCTTTTTCCAGTCTCTTCGGTTGGTCCAATGGACTTGTATCGATTGGGATGATTGAGTGAACTGAACATTTGAATGCTAATTTGCTTTTCAATTTTGTTCTAACTGATATAGCATTCTTGTCGTTACCATCTTCCTTGTAAGCTCGAGTCGATTTTTTTTTGAATGATTTAGAGTCAGAAACCAATCTTCACTCTTCTGCTGAGCCGTTGTGATTACAGTTTGCTTGCTAAAGTTTCATCGAACCCTTGTTTGTCAATCAGTTTTTCTCGGACTGATAAAGGCTTTGTGTCACTGCCACGGTTCTTATAAGCTACAATTGAACTGATTTGTCTGATTTTCAGCGTCAGAAACCAATCTTCATTCCTCTCCTGAGTTGACGTGATTGTAGTTTGCTTTCTCCACTTTCTTTGGTTGGTTCAATGGACCTGTATCGATTGGGATGATTGCGTGAACTGAACATTTAAATGCTAATTTGTTCTTCAAATTTGTTCTAATTGATGTAGGATTCGTGTAATTGCCACTTTCCTTGTAAGCTACAGTTGAATTGATTCGACCGATTTACAGCGTCAGAAACCATACTTCATTCCTCTCCTGAGTTGACGTGATTGTAGTTTGCTTTCTCCAGTCTTTTTGGTTGGTTCAATGGATCTGTATCGATTGGGATGATTGCGTGAACTGAACACTTTAATGCTAATTTGTTAAGCAACTTTGTTCAAACTGATGTGGGTTTCGTTTCGTTACCTTTTTTGTCAGCTGCATTTGAATTGGTTCGACCGATTTACTGCATCAGAAACCAATCTTCACTCCTATCCTTAGTTGTGATAGCAGTTTGCTTTCTCCCTTGTCCTTGATTGGTCCAAGGGATGATCGAGTGAACTCAACACTTAAATGCTAATTTGTTATTCAATTTTGTTTTAATTAATGTAAGATTCGTGTCATTCCCGCGTTCCTTGTAAGCCACAGTTGAATAGACAGCATCATAAACTAGTCTTCACTACTCTACTGAGTTGATGTGATTGCAGTTTGCCTACTCCAATCGCTTCGGTTGTTCCAATGGACTTGTTTCGATGGGATGGTTGCGTAAACCGAACACTTAGATGCTAATTTGTTTTTTTATTCGCTGATTGCTAAAGGTTTCTTAAGACTGCTTTTTCTGATTTTTAAAATCTCATTTTGGAAGAGTCACATTTGCTTTACCGCTAAACAAACATGTTAATAGTTCCTTTTTCTTCTACAGGATAGTTGTGGTGCTGGAAACTTTGATCAAAGTCTACACCTTCGATCTCAACCCGCTCGAACAGGAGAGGTTTGAGTCATGTCTCAACCCGCACGGACTCTGTGCTGTAAGTAATTGCTAGCTCCTTGTATATACGACGTCGATATCATAATAAAATATTTTAAAAAACTTTATTTGACTACTGCCCAAAGTTAGCCCTCAGAACAAAAAGATGGGAATTTTTTTTTAAAATAGCACATTAAACCACTTGTCGTAATTTTGATATGGAAAAGATACCAGCAAACGTTTCTTCACTGCCGAAAAAAAAAGGCCGGATATATCTGTTTTTCAGACTAATTTTCAGAAATGCTGAGAATGGTGGTCAAGTAACAAAATTGGTTCAAGTATTTGCTTTTGGTTGTACGATCAGCTTTACTTGTAGCATTCTTTTTGGTGCAGATAAATTAGCTCATTAAATGTTGCACATTTTGTTTAATTTTTTTTGTTTTTCGATATTTGATTTTTGAAATTTTTTTTCTCATTAGATGAAACCATTATTTTTTTAAATTAGCCTTTTCATTTGAAACAAAAAGACCGAGCAAGCCTGAAGTCCTATCAAATCAGAATAATATCAACAAAAAATTTCCGGTATTTTTGTTTATTACACAAGCAAACTTGTGTGATAGTATGAACTCTTTTTTTCCAACCTAAGTTGCAAATATTAGAGTTCATTTTGATCAATAACCAGCTATTAAGTACAGCCAATGTTAACGATGTTAACACAGACTATTTTGTTACAATTAGCACTTTAGCTTCAAGTTATCATTAATCTGTACCGTAGAGGTAGGAAAGGAGACCAGCAGCAAAATAAGAGGGTTCGAATCTTGGCAGGGTCAGATATTTTTAATGAAATTTTTCGTATACTAGTTAAAATGCTCTATAAATTGAGGCATGTTAGTCGGTAAGTTTCTTTTTTTTTCAAATTGACTGGTAGACTAATAATTGGCGTGCGTCACTTATGAAATTTCGTAGACTCAAAGTTTTACCCATTCAGTTTTTCCCAGTAGCGTCATCGGTCATTTTTTTGCCGGTGTATGCGAAGTGCAACTTCGTCTCTGTGCTAAAATTTCTAGCCGATTTTGTTGTTTTACTGTGTCAACTTGAGTTGCTGTCTGCTTATTTTCCTGTTACACGTGTTGTATTTCTTAGTTTTATGTAGTTTCAATGCGTTAAAACAGTAACGAAATAACTTTTTATTCCTTTTTAACGGTTTTTTTTGTCATTTTGAAAACTTTCTATTTTTTTCACGCCCAATGATACGTTTAAAACGACACAAATTTCTTAACTTTTATATCAATAGTAGTTCAATTGCATTGTTGTGTGTTCTAAGCCAGCGTCTTTGTCTTGTTTTTTTTACTTCTTTATTTGATTCAATTTTTTTTAGAGCAATGTTTTTTTGAACAAGGAAAATATAGGATTTTGAATTGAATTGTAATTGTTTTGAAAATTATCAATTTCAATAGTTTCATGTTTTTAGAAACTTTTTGAGGTGTTTTGTTTGCTTAGTCTTAATTGGTTTGGTTCTTGTGTCTTATCTGGCAAAATGTCTGAATTCGTTTTTTTTCAGCAGTGCGCTGTTTACAAATAGTTTCACCGCGTGTCTTCTGCTTAGCAGGCAGGTTTAAATTATCAGTTTGAGTCAAACTGATATTTTTGCTAGTTTAATTTTCAAAAAATTTACTAAATTTTCCTATCTGATTTTAATTTTTTTTCTTGACATTTATTTTCCATCGCAAGTGGTGCGAAGCTCTGCTTCGCCTCTGTGTTGCACTTTAAAGAGCTGGTTCTGCCGTGTTCTCGCTAGTATTTGTGAAGCACAGCTTTGCTTCTGTGTGGAAAACAGAAACAAACTCATTATTTCCAATGACGTAGAGCGCTTTGAGTTCCGGTAAATCTATAACAATTTGTCTAACAGAATCTGGGAATCATTCATCACTAAGCTGATAACCAAATCGAGCTCCAATCGTACTTGCGCTCATCTCGAGCAAATGTAACACACATTCTTGGGGCGACAAAGATCACCGATTCGAGCGCGGTTAGTGCTTGTTTATTCTCTGAAATTGTTCTACCTTCGAAAATTGTCTTCATCGGTGCAGCAAATGTCTGCTTATGTTTTTTTTGGCTTAGTTATAACAGAGTCTAACGTAGTATTTTTAAGAAACAAGCAATCTTCATTATACTTATTCAAGAATTAAGGTTTTATATTTTGGTAAAATTTCAGTAAATTATTTTCAAATAAGTTTTTTCCAATATTTCTTGTAAATCCGATTTTTCAGTGAATGATTTCCAATAATTTTGAATTAGAACTTTATTTTTTTTCGGTTTTTCTCTTAGTCGCATGGCAGCAATGAATGCAGCCGTGTGCGTTAATAATTCAGAATTTCTTGAAACAAAATCTAGGTTTTCTATTTTTTTCACAAATATTTCCTTTGCCAGAGTTCACTTTCGAAATGAGCCTAAGAGAATAAATTGTTGTTCTTTAAAATTGCTTTAAATCAAATTTTTGAAACTTTGCATCATGTTATTGAAGAGTCATGTTTTTTTTTTACTATGAACGCTTGCTTATATTTTTCTTCCAAGTTTGCAATTTCATTTGCCTCTCTGTGAATCAAGTATTTTAGTGTCATTAAGCGACGTGCGTGCCCTTTGTTTAGATTTTATGTTTTCAGTGTTTTTTTTTACTTAAGGAAACTAATTAATTTGTTCACGCTGAATTTTTTCATGCCTTCTCTTTTTTGACTTTTACTTCACTTCAAACTCATTTGCTAAAAGAAAGGCAAATTGCGTTCTCCAATTCCAAAAGGCGTGAACCAACATGGACTTCTAGCTTCCGAAGTGAATTTTAATTGTACGCGAATTATCAATGGACCTAGTTTTCTCATCACAAAAACGTCAAGCAATAAAATTTCTTGATATGGAAAGTGTTATGATAATTTTTTTTCTGCTCATTCGTGTTTATTGACTCGTTTCTAACTGTCTGTTGGCTATGTTTAAAAGTCCATGAACGTAGTTCAGACGCTTATCTAGGTCGCGATGATTTTTTTCGTTTTATTTTCAGGAAAATTTTTAAATTTGTTCAGGTTCAAATTTACTCTTTCGCCGTTTGAATTTTGGTTTCTTTGTGAATTCAGTTCATTTCTTTTGTTAAAAGGAAGGCAAACTCGCTATCAAACAGAAAAAGTGTAAAGGTCACGAAAAATAGATCGAATTCTAGTTGCGAAAGTGGAATTTAATTTTCAGATTTCCCAGCGGAATAAAAATTTAACTCAATAATCCAGTTTTCTCAAATTGGGTTAATTTTATCTAAATAGTGGTACTCATTACTGTTCTTGAAACTGAAAGAGCTATAAAGCCATCTTTTTTTATTTCGAAATTCCAAAGTCGAAGTTTTTCAAATAAAGGCTATCTTTTCTAATTTATTTGCAGAATCGTATTTGATTTTAAAAAACTTTTTAAAGAAGCGCTAAATTAAGCTGTCAAAACAACTTTTCCTGGAGTTTAACTGAGTTTTTACTACTTAAGTAAATAAGAATTCAAACTGGTTTTTCTCGACACTGGGAAAACTTTTTGAAAAATTTCAAGTGCTGTTTAAATCAGGACTGAAGAGGCTATAATATGATGTATCATTCGAACTGTTCCGATGGTTGATTGTGGTAGCTGATTTTGCGTTGAAAATAAAACACAAAAAAAACTAAAGCACAACCGAAGAAAAATTCTTTCCCATTTTCAATGCTCGGAACAAAAACTTGATTGTTTCCTTGAGTTTATTGACGCCGACCTATCTGTTTGTCATTTTTCCCATATGCAGGTGTGCGCAGTTGAGGCCAACCCCATCATCGCCTACCCTGGACCGAAAGTGGGTCAGCTGGCCATAGCCTCCCTAGGCAGTGGAATGCCAGCAGAGTACATATGTGCTCATGAGAGCAGCCTATGCTCCATTGCCCTCAGCAAAAAAGGAGACCTAGTGGCCACCGCCTCCGAAAAGGGAACCCTCATCAGGGTGTTCAACACACACTATAAGGCAAAAAACACTCAAATATAAGGAGCTTTTCAATTTGATTTATAGTTTAGATTGGGAGATAATGATTAAGTACCAATTAATTAACAGTTTTTTGCGGGTATAATTGCTTAGAATAAATTAGAGACTGTCTAAGTATACTTCTTTTTGCTTGATTTCAGTCGCTCATTTCATCCCATAGTTGTTGCGAATTTTGGTATGTGAGTTATTATGCGCTGAACTGAACGTACCTCTAAAATTGAGTGGGGAGAAATATGTGAGAGTGGAATCGTGACTCATTCAAAGGGCAACCATCTATTTTACTGATGACCCGTCGAGAAATTGATTTAATTTTCTCATGTCTTATAAAAACTTACTTTGTCAACCAAAAGCAATCAACCGCAGGCAATTTTTTAAATGACAGCAATATTGAAAGCATTCATGTATTGCTCAGAAAAGCTCTTAAGAATTCTTTTTTGGGATGTTTTAGAAAACAAAGTTTTTCCGTGGCATCTGATTTTTTGATGATTTTGATAATATTGGCAATTAAATGTGAATACCCTTGCAGGTGTTTTAAATAAATTTAGTTAGGAAGTTTAAGTGTTCATATTTATAGGCGCAAGTTGAAGAATTTCGAAGAGGTACCCAACCTGCTCTTATTTATTCAATAAACTTCAACCAGCCCGGAAACTTAGTCTGTGTGTCTAGTGACAGAGGAACGTTGCATATTTTCAACCTGAAAAACTCGACGCCCAACAACAACTCAGGAGGACGCTACGGGCGATCTGGAAGCATATCAAAACGACTGGGCCAAGCCAAAACGAGTAGTGGTAAAATAGAGCTGAAGTGCGGAGGCTTGCCTGTTTACTGTGAGTTCAGCACCCTTGATGACAAGTCTATAATAGCTATTTCTCTCGCAGGTGACTACAACAAATTCATCGCCAACGACACTGAGGGATCCCTTAGCTGGACGAGAGACTTCTCTGAAAATGTTTTGTCTCCTCGAGATGTTTTTACATCATTTCCACACGTGCCTACAGTGGGCTAAAAAGCTGAACTTGAATAAATAGACTTCAAATTAATTTCTATTGTGCTGTAATGTTGTGCTTTAGGCGATTGATATTCAGAATTATTTTTGTATTTTCAATTTTATAAGGTTAAGTTGAAATAAAAATTATGTTATATCTCGAAAATCAACTAAATTAGATAGTGATTTTGATTTTTTTAATAGAGAATTTAATGATTTTTAGTGGAATTTGACCAAGAGCTAGCGAGACGAGAGAGCCGTTTCTTGAGACCAAGAGAGGGCGAATAATATTGAAAATTTTGTTATTAATTTGGGTCGACTGAATCTATTTTCCAAATTCTGCTATAATCCTGTTTCATCAACAATTTCTAGGCCCAGAGGGAAAATTTTAGATAAGCGTTCCAAAACTTAGTTTTCGGACTCTTTTGGAAGATTTTGGCCAAAAAATTCCCCGAAGATATCATATATTGGCGTCAAATGAGACTTGAATTCAGAAGAGTTTAAATATTGGTTGGCCTAAAATGGATGTCATAAAAACTATCAAAGAAATGGCTCATTAGATGGCGCCACAGGTGAGGGCATCGAATTCCTTTTTTTCCTTTGGAAATTTAACTTGGATGGCTGTTTTTAAGATATTATGGCATTTAAAGCTGGTAAAGGAGGAAATAAGTCCACAAATGCGGACCAAACTGGCGGTAAATCCCAGCTACAACTCGAAACCCAACGGATGCTGGACACTTCTAAGAAGAAGTTGACGCTAATTGAACAGCAAAGAATTATGTCTGTTATGGAAGATACTTGTGTGCGAATGGAACTGGTCTCTCTTTTTCCATTTATTCTGGATAATTTGGACAGATTTTCCGTTGCTTTTGGGCAAGATTTGTGCGAACAGTTGGCTGTTCATTCGCAATTGAATGATCAGTTGATTCATAATCTAACAGACGGAGCTCAGGAATCAACAGACGCCGAGGCACTTCAGAGAAGTTCGGATCTTCTGCAGCTGAATTTGCATCACTCGACCAAAACTCTGTTGAGACTGTTCGCTGCAAATCCGGCGGCTGTGAAGGTGGTGCGCAATGAGTTTCAGAAAAACACGCCTGAAGAGACGAAGGCATTCATCTCCATGGTGAAAGAAGGCAAGTCTCTCTTGCTTCAGAGATTGCTCTCTACCCCATTCGAGGAGAAACAGAGACAAGACTACTTTACGGAGATGAGCGATAGGTTTGTGTAATGTTTATCAAATACTATCGTTTGTATTAGTTAACTTGATTACATCGCTCGGATTATTAAAAATGCAGTATCTATTTTCTGTTCATTTTTGAATATCAACGGCAAAACTCGGCAGACTATCGTAATTACATTTGAGTTCAGTTTTTTTTGTGGACAATTTTGGGTGTGTTTGTTCGAAAAAAGTTGATTATGATAAAAAGCTGTATAAATAGCTTTGATGTTGCTTAAGAATTATTCAGGAAACTTTTTTCGGTTGATAATTCCAGCCAAAAGATCGCTGAAATTTTCCATGCATTTAAAAAAAGAAATAGAGTTTAAATGCAGAGACAACCAATACGAACTACACAATGTCTTTAGGTGTCGTAAAAACGAGACAGCTATCAAGCAGTTGAAGAGGGAGCTGGAGGAGGCGACAGTGGACAAGGAGGAGGAGGTTAGCAAGAGGAATGAGGTCATCCGTAAACTCAAACTGGACATTCACAGCATCGAGAAGAGCGCCGATGACCACATCAACAGAACAAAGGTCATTCCAAATTCCTGAGATTCCAATCTACCTCATCATCATGATCGTTTTCCGCTTCAATAGTTGTACCAAAAAAATCGCGAAAGTTTCCTTTTGTTGCTAATAAGAGCTTCGCTCATCAAAGATGTACCTAACAGATTTCATATCACTCCTCAATTCGTCTTATTAAAAGTTAGCAGATATGGTTTTAATGCTCCGATTTTCGAAAAAAAGTGAGAAATATATATGCTTAAGGTGGTTTGTTTTATTACTCTGAAGAAGTTCTGAAAGAAAGTTGTAAAGTGGAGATCGAACCTAGAATCTAAGTGTTCCCGAGCGATTGTGCTATGCACTATCTGAAATGCGCTTGGAGGTTGTGTTGAATACTGTTTCAATTCGAAGAAGATTTTATCTATGATGCTGAAAGCGTGACAATAATTACTATTCCGCACACAAATTTGCTCCTGATCAAAATCAATCAAGCTCATTGGTATCCATAATTTTAAGTTGTACGAATCAAGTTAGACCCTTAAATTTTGATTTTAAAGAACATTCAGGACCATGTCATACCAAACGAGCAGTCTTCGTGTTCCGACACCACTGGAACTACTTGAATCTACGGTCATTCTGAAACGAGTCTAACTAAACTGCTTGTTTAGTTTTTTAAGCTGAAAAAGTTAAGAGAATTATTCCCGCTGGGCAAATTGTCACGCACTACGAAATCAATTCCATATACTTAATTCCATATACTAATCAAACTTCAACACTTAATATTAATAGTAATGAACGTAGTTAGTACTCTTATATAGGTCTTGGTAATTTTTTTAGGAAAAAGTCTCAAACTTTGTTCACGCTCAATTTTGATTTTTTGCTGTTTAACTTTCGTACTGCACCATCGAACAAAAAAAGCGCAAAGGTCACAAAAAACTTGATCGACTACTAATTTAAAAAATGGATATTATAAATAAGATTTTCCGACAAAATTGAATTTTTAACTATTGATCTAGTTTTCCAACTAGGGTTATTTTTATCAAAAAAACACTAGTCATAAATTGCTCGTGCTTTTCTTTTTTAAATGAAAAAAGCACTTATCATAATTTAAAAGTTTTACGGTCATATATTTTTTCTCTAAATTCGAAAGTTGAAGTTTTTCAACAAGCAAGTCAGGTTGTTTTCTGTTTCCTTGCATTCTTACTTTTTTCCAACTGTCAGTTGGTTATGGTTTGATATCAGATCAAAATTGAGTTTTAATATTCTCAATTAATCGAAACATGTTAAAGGACAGCTTTGCCCTGATATACGAGCAGTCTTGTTAATTTATACTGGCAGATTTTGTGTCGTTTTTGTGGGAAAGAGTTTTGCAACGGAAATAAAACTATAATAGGACAAATTTTGTCAATAGTTTTTGTTAAGCGAAATTTACAATAGCTCAAAAACTGTGCCCGCGACAGTTGTCAGCAGTCTACAATATGAAACAATGCCGGTTGATGTGCAATTAGCACAGTAATGTTCCGATCGTTATGAGATCTTAACCAAAGCCTAGAACTATGACTGTAAAAAACGTAGGTACATTTGACAACAGTTTGTTTTCCATGTAGAAAGAAAAAATGTATATTAAAAAATCAAAAAAAAAATTCATTCTTCACGCTTGAGATTAGCCAGCGTTATCAAATCGGAATATAGACTTTTTTCGGGTTAACAACTAGTTTACTAAATCACTTTGGTTCATATGAAATCAAAACTTAGAGTAATTCATCGCACTTGGTCTGGACGTAATGCAGTTGCCTTTGAAACCTAACGTCAGGGGCTCGGGCCTGTTTGTCGGTTTTTGAACTAATTTTGCGTCGCTATAGGGATGAAAATGACTACTCGTGCTTTTATTAAATCACTCAATTTTTAATCGCTCAATTTTTTTTATTTCATTAACTTTCTTTGAAATTTTGTTGTCATTTTAATGGGCGTCTTACCACATGTTGTTGGCTTATTGAACGCTTGAAAACATTTGAATAGCTTGCTTAAGGTATTATGTGCTGCAAACGCTCAAAGTTTTAAATCTTGAATGCTAAAAAGTTATTGATAACTGATGACATTTTTTGCTTTCGGCTCAATCGGTTTTAACTCACGCATTGTCGGCTTATTAACTAGTCTGTAAAGAACTAAAATTGTATTTACTGCTGTTTGTTGTTTTTTACTATTTTCCTGAAATTGTTTTCAATTTTCCAAATATATATATATATATATATATATATATATATATATATATATATATATTGGTTTTGTTAATTCCATCTCCTTTTCTAATCACTAGCTTGCAACGAGGTGATTGAGTAGTATCGCAAGTGATGCGAAGCACCGCTTCGCCTCTGTGTATCAAAGTTAGCCTCCTATGTCTTCCAGCAAAGGTTAAGAAGGGTATACTTTGAGAACTTCTTAAAAATTGTTTTTAATCAATTCAGAAAATTGTTGTTTTATATAGCACAAATTACATGTTTCGGTGTCACAGAAAATTATATTTAATCATGCAAAAGCTTGGAGATCATACTCTTCTTTCAATTTGTACGGCTTCTTAAGAAGCTCTCTTTGATATAATCCGCTCAACCATTGACGCGTTATTTTAAGCATAATTTTTCATAGAATAGAAAGAGCCAGAGCCAAAAATGACCTGTTTATGGGGTCAAGTTTTGGGCTCAAATGCGGCAGAAAAAATTGCAGAATAAATTGTGATCATTTCTGGTAAAATTTAAAACTACATTTGTTCTAATCACTTTTTGTCTAATGACATCCAAATATGTTCGTTTTGCTGATTTGAATCAGAACTGTAGTTTTGTTTGCATACCCAATTGCCAGGCCCCGGGTATTATGGATTTTTTTTTTCGTAGTTGACTAACAATGTCTTAGAAGTTTGAAGAAAGCACGTAATCAGGAATTTGCGCCTTTTTTTAACTAATTCACCAGAAGTTCTCCCAAAAAGCCATAGTATGTCAAAAAGTTACACGTCAGAATTGAAAGTTTCACCAAGGGCTGTGATCAAAAGGTAGGGGATTTGGCTAGAGGCTGTAAATATCAAAACAAATTACTTACTGCTGTTGATATTTTTTTTCGACAAATTCAATGTTAGTTAAAAACGTTTTTCATTTGTTAAATACCGGAGCTTTTTAATTTCCTTTTCTACAGCTAAATGTTTACGGCGGAATAACTATTTTGATTTGGACACTGGTAAACTATCCTGGGTTTTATCTTTCTAGTAAACTATATGCTTGTTATAGGTGGACTCGGAGAAACAGCAACAGGCTGATGAGAAGAACGCAGAGACTAAGAAAGATAAACTGAAGTTAGAGTTGAATCAGCTGAAGCAGCAGCTGGCCAATATAACAGCGGAGCATCGCAAGTCGGAACAGATTCTGAGGGGGAAGAAGTTCCAGACCGAGACCGAAGTTGAAAGCTGGATCACCCAATACGATCAGCACATGGGCGAGAAGCAACAGGAATTCGAGGAGATAGACGCACAGTATACACAAGAGAAGCAAGAATTGAATATTCTGCAAGAAAAGTTTGCGACTCTTCAGCAAGAGTATGACACAATCATGGAGGAGCGAAGGCTGAGTAAAGAACAGAAAGAACAAGAAGAAAAGAATGTTCGCACAGCAGCCAAAGCGGCTCTTGCTATCCAACGGTTCTGGCGAGCGTATAAGGCCAAAAAAGCACTGAAGAAAAAGGGAGGCAAAAAAGGCAAGAAGTCAGGCGGAAAAAGTGGGAAAAAGTAAACGGCGAGAAGATAAAACCCTCATATTCGCTCGCTTTCTAATCGTTTGGTCAAATCACTCGCCATTAAATTGTAGATAGTCCCATTCATGTACATAGTTAGTTGCAAGTAGCCAAAATGATTCTTAACATCTATTCCAAACTACATACAGTGTCCATGTATAAATGTATAATGAATTGTACAAAATCGTGCCATAAAATTATTTTTGATCTAAATTTACGCGAGAATCCACAGTTTTCATTTGATTTAAGAATTGTTTCATTTCTTGTAAGCTACAGTTGAATAGATTTGACTGATTTATAGCATCAGAAACCAATCTTCACTCCTCTCCTGAGTTGACGTGATTGCAGTTTGCTTTCTCCAGTCTCTTCGGTTGGTCCAATGGACCTGTATCGATTGGGATGATTGCGTGAACTGAACACTTTACTGCTAATTTGTTATTCAATTTTGTTCTAACTGATGTAGGATTTGTGTCATTACCACGTTCCTTGTAAGCTACAGTTGAATAGATTTGACTGATTTATAGCATCAGAAACCAATCTTCACTCCTCTCCTGAGTTGACGTGATTGGAGTTTGCTTTCTCCAGTCTCTTCGGTTGGTCCAATGGACCTGTATCGATTGGGATGATTGCGTGAACTGAACACTTTACTGCTAATTTGTTATTCAATTTTGTTCTAACTGATGTAGGATTTGTGTCATTACCACGTTCCTTGTAAGCTACAGTTGAATAGATTTGACTGATTTATAGCATCAGAAACCAATCTTCACTCCTCTCCTGAGTTGACGTGATTGCAGTTTGCTTTCTCCAGTCTCTTCGGTTGGTCCAATGGACCTGTATCGATTAGGATGATTGCGTGAACTGAACACTTTACTGCTAATTTGTTATTCAATTTTGTTCTAACTGATGTAGGATTTGTGTCATTACCACGTTCCTTGTAAGCTACAGTTGAATTGATTCGACTGATTTATAGCATCAGAAACCAATCTTCACTCCTCTCCTGAGTTGACGTGATTGCAGTTTGCTTTCTCCAGTCTCTTCGGTTGGTCCAATGGACCTGTATCGATTGGGATGATTGCGTGAACTGAACACTTTACTGCTAATTTGTTATTCAATTTTGTTCTAACTGATGTAGGATTTGTGTCATTACCACGTTCCTTGTAAGCTACAGTTGAATAGATTTGACTGATTTATAGCATCAGAAACCAATCTTCACTCCTCTCCTGAGTTGACGTGATTGCAGTTTGCTTTCTCCAGTCACTTCGGTTGGTCCAATGGACCTGTATCGATTAGGATGATTGCGTGAACTGAACACTTTACTGCTAATTTGTTATTCAATTTTGTTCTAACTGATGTAGGATTTGTGTCATTACCACGTTCCTTGTAAGCTACAGTTGAATTGATTCGACTGATTTATAGCATCAGAAACCAATCTTCACTCCTCTCCTGAGTTGACGTGATTGGAGTTTGCTTTCTCCAGTCTCTTCGGTTGGTCCAATGAACCTGTATCGATTGGGATGATTGCGTCAACTGAACACTTTGCCGCTACTGCTAATTTGTTATTCAATTTTGTTCTAACTGATGTAAGATTTGTGTCATTACCACGTTCCTTGTAAGCCGCAGTTGAATTGATTCGACTGATTTACAGCATCGGAAATCATTCTTCACTCCTCTCCTGAGCTGACGGGATTGCAGTTTGCTTTCTCCAGCCTCTTCGGTTGGTCCAGTGGACTTGTATCGATTGGGATGATTGCGTGAACTGAACACTTTACTGCTAATTTGTTATTCAATTTTGTTCTAACTGATGTAGGATTTGTGTCATTACCACGTTCCTTGTAAGCTACAGTTGAATAGATTTGACTGATTTATAGCATCAGAAACCAATCTTCACTCCTCTCCTGAGTTGACGTGATTGCAGTTTGCTTTCTCCAGTCACTTCGGTTGGTCCAATGGACCTGTATCGATTAGGATGATTGCGTGAACTGAACACTTTACTGCTAATTTGTTATTCAATTTTGTTCTAACTGATGTAGGATTTGGGTCATTACCACGTTCCTTGTAAGCTACAGTTGAATTGATTCGACTGATTTATAGCATCAGAAACCAATCTTCACTCCTCTCCTGAGTTGACGTGATTGCAGTTTGCTTTCTCCAGTCTCTTCGGCTGGTCCAATGGACCTGTATCGATTAGGATGATTGCGTGAACTGAACACTTTACTGCTAATTTGTTATTCAATTTTGTTCTAACTGATGTAGGATTTGTGTCATTACCACGTTCCTTGTAAGCTACAGTTGAATTGATTCGACTGATTTATAGCATCAGAAACCAATCTTCACTCCTCTCCTGAGTTGACGTGATTGCAGTTTGCTTTCTCCAGTCTCTTCGGTTGGTCCAATGGACCTGTATCGATTGGGATGATTGCGTGAACTGAACACTTTACTGCTAATTTGTTATTCAATTTTGTTCTAACTGATGTAGGATTTGTGTCATTACCACGTTCCTTGTAAGCTACAGTTGAATAGATTTGACTGATTTATAGCATCAGAAACCAATCTTCACTCCTCTCCTGAGTTGACGTGATTGCAGTTTGCTTTCTCCAGTCACTTCGGTTGGTCCAATGGACCTGTATCGATTAGGATGATTGCGTGATCTGAACACTTTACTGCTAATTTGTTATTCAATTTTGTTCTAACTGATGTAGGATTTGTGTCATTACCACGTTCCTTGTAAGCTACAGTTGAATAGATTTGACTGATTTATAGCATCAGAAACCAATCTTCACTCCTCTCCTGAGTTGACGTGATTGCAGTTTGCTTTCTCCAGTCACTTCGGTTGGTCCAATGGACCTGTATCGATTAGGATGATTGCGTGAACTGAACACTTTACTGCTAATTTGTTATTCAATTTTGTTCTAACTGATGTAGGATTTGTGTCATTACCACGTTCCTTGTAAGCTACAGTTGAATTGATTCGACTGATTTATAGCATCAGAAACCAATCTTCACTCCTCTCCTGAGCTGACGTGATTGCAGTTTGCTTTCTCCAGCCTCTTCGGTTGGTCCAGTGGACTTGTATCGATTGGGATGATTGCGTGAACTGAACACTTAAATGCTAATTTGTTATTCAATTTTGTTCTAAGTGATGAAGGATTTGTGTGATTACCACGTTCCTTGTAAGCTGCAGTTGAATTGATTTGATTGATTTACAGCATCAAAAACCAATCTTCTAGAGGTAATTTGTTTCACGAGTTCGAAATAAGTAGTATAACATGTGTCTTTGAAAGTTCGATTGAAGTTGTTCGGTTTTTTGATTCCTTTAGTTCATTAGAATTTGGTCGTGAAATTGTTACCCGTGTTTTACTCAATTTTTCTATATTTTTAAGCGCTTGAGTGTCGGTTTTAGTTCTGTCGTATTATTTTCAGAATGTTTTTTTTTCATCTCTTTGTTAGTTTTTATAAGATTGGTTGAAGTCTTGTAAGATGTTCTGGAGTAATCTAAATCATTTTCTCAGACCCTTTTTAATTGTTTGAAAAATTTTTAAAAAAATTCTTTTTTCAATTATTTTTTATGCTTGCGATTAGGAAGCGTTACCAAACCGGATTATAGACTGTTTTTTTTTGGGTTAACAATTAGTTTAACCGAATCAAGTGAGTCATTTAACCTTTGGTTAGATGAAATCAAAGGTCAGACGTTAATTTGCGCATGTGGCGAAAATGTAACGCACCTGCCTATAAATTCAAAGGTCACTAGTTCGTATCCGGTCAGGACCTTTTTTTGTCAGCGGAAAATTGTCTGCGCGTGCAAAAATCTTTGTCAGACTTCTGTTCATCTGTTTTTGTCGGCTTAGTTCTAATTGTTTTTACAAGCAACTATTTCAATTGAAAAACGAAAACCACGCAAGCCTGAATTGCCAGCAAATCAAAAGTTATTGAATTCTAATCAAAATTGCTTGATAATATTTCAGTGTCAACTTAAGTGCTGTCTGCCAAATTTTCTATTTTTTTTTTCCTTTTTTTGCGTCGTTTCAATTTCTTAGGACAGTAAAATTGGCAACCAAGCAAGCTTGAAGTGCTATTAAATCCGAAATTGATAATTTCAAAATTTTCGATAATTTTTGTTTCTGAATCACTAGACGAATTGATTGTTTTTATAATGTTTACCTGTTGCTGTCTGCTAATTTAACTAATGCATTTGTTGAGTTTCTCCAATTTTATAAAGTTTCGATGAAATAAAAGACTAGTGAGCTAATTTTTTCTGTTTTTTGTTTTCTAATTTTAAAAATTCATGAATTTGTTTCTCACGTCTAGCTAATTTTGATCTGTTTTCTTTCTAAAGAAAAGTTCAATGGCAGATCTTTTTCATTAAAATTTAATCATTTTTTTCTATGATTTTTGGGTTGACTTGTCTGATCTGATTTTCTTTTTTCGAACTGAAAATCAAAGTTTGTTTTTGGCTTCATAACTGTTCAAATTTTTTTTGTTTTCTCGTAATATGTGTCTTTTTCTTGTTTTTTTCTCTGTTCCATTCGTTTTTCTTATTTTTTTTGCCGAACTACCAAAAAATACTTTGTACGTTTTCGAATTATTTTGGAATTGTTTTATCAAAAGTTTTTGAAATTTGTCGCTGTAACTAAATTTTTTTGAATAGTTTGCAGTTTTTAAGTTGAAATATTGTCTGTTTCCGATACAATTTGCTGGGGCTTCTGAAAAATTGAATAATATTGTTCGATTTTTACTACCCTTGAAGCAAGGGTATTGCAATTGGGTACTAGACTTTTTCCCCGTAATACAACTTTGTCCACACTTCTAAAAGAGGATCTTCTCTTCTAGAGAATTTTTACTTGTACAAGTTCTTCTGGTTTCAGATTGTAATTTCAGACTGTAATTATCTTTATAATGGTTGTAATTTCATGTTGTAATTATCTATTCAAGTTTCAGCTTCATGTCTCAATTTTTTCGGGTTCGCGTTTTCGTCCTAGTTTCTGTCGATTAATTTTCCGTTTTTTAAACGCCATTTTTCATCTGGTTCGTTTTTAATTGGTTTACTATTTAAAGCATGGGTTTTGTTTTTATTTGAACAGCTTTTACTATAACTGCAGCTTCATAAATTTTTAATTTTACCATGTCTGATTTTGAGTTTTTTTTTAATTTTTTTTTTTCGTTTCTTTCAATTAAATATTATATTAGTTTCAGTTTATGGTATACCGACTTAGTCAACTTATTTTGCGTAATATAGAGGGCAAAAAAATTCCGTTTGAGATTGTGTTTCAGTTTGGATGGGTCGTAAAAACTTAAATTTATGAAATATTTTATGACTAATTTTGTTTTCGGCTGAACAGGTTTTGATCCAAAGTTTGTCGCCTTTGTTGCCGCTCGGTAAGCGATTTCCATTTTTTAGGGCTGTTTATGAACTTCAATGCGATACAAATATAAAGTTTTTGTATCTGTAGTTTTTCAATTTTGTCAAGTGATTTTTTCCAACATAATTTTTTTTTTCACTATTTTGTAGCGCGATGTTTTTTTTTTATCGCTAGTGTTGCGAAGCTCTGCTTCGCCTCTGTGTAAATCTTTGTCTAAATGAAAAATATATCAGATTTAGTGGTCTTTAGTTTTTTCATCAATGCAGACCAATGGTTACATCGTGTGTCTTCGGAAGATTTCGATGCATAGCAGGCAGGTTTAAAACGTCAGTTGCATTCAGGTTGTTTTTTTTGCATATATAATTTTTAAAAAATGTTTTTGTAATTTTGTACAAAAAATTTGTAATCTGGTTTTTCAATTGCTGTTTTCTCGACTTACAAGTTTTTCATTGCAAATGGTGCGAATTTCTATTTTGCTTCTGTTACGTTTGCGATTAATGAGTCTTGCCTTTTTTTCTCTTGGTTCTATTTAGTTTTTAAATTTCTTTGTAACTCTTTGTATTGTTCTGTTATTTATGTTGCCAGAGTTTTAGTTTCAAGTTTTTGAGAGTTTTCTGTGATTATTTTTTGTTGAACTTTCTATGAACGAAATTTTACTAAATCGGCTGTGTAATTTTTCTTGATTGAAAGGTTTTGGCAAATAGTGAAGTTTTCGTGAATAGTTCCGTCAATAGTTTTAGAAAGAATCTTTTACTAGAGGACAATTATTTCTCAAAGGTCGAGGATTTTTTTGTTTTCTTGTCTTTTCTTTTTAAAACCTTTTAAAGCTACTTTTTGGCGTTTTGTCGCTCGTGCCTGCAAAAGTGCAGCTTTGCCTCTGTGTTTTCTCAGATTGAAAAATAATCGAAGCAAAATTTTTTTCTGCGTATTTTTCATCAGTTTTTTTTGTAATGAATTTTTCTGCGTATTTTTGAACAATCGTTTTGGAATTAATTTAGCCTGGTAGTTTTATCAACAAAAGTTTCTAGTTTTTTCCTTTTACTACGTTCTATTTTCTCCTAGGCTCACTGCTCAATTTTTTTTAGCGTCAATGAACAAAGTGAGTACCATTTTAAGGTCATGTGATTTTTTTTTCTTAGGAAGAAGTCTTTAGAATCAATCACGCTCAAATATGATTTTTCGCGGTTTAATTTAAGTGTTTAAATAAGTTTAAGTCAAATTACGCTCTACAATTACGCCAAGTGGAAGTGACTAGAAAAACTTGAATGACTTAGTTTAGACAGTGGAGTTTAATTGTCACATAAAACTTGAATCTGATGTTTATTTTTTTCGAAATGTTCTTTTGAAAGTTGAAAATTAAAAAAGTCTATATTTGAGTTCTTGAGTGTCCTTGAGTTCATTGACACTTTTCCAACTGTTTAAGTGTCGGTGAATGCAGTGAAGACATTCTGATAGATCACGATGATTTTTTGTTTTTCAAGAAAAAGTCGGAAAAAGGATAAAGCTCAAATTTGGTTTTTCGGCGTTTGGAATTTTCATTCTTTTTCTCAGTTCAGTTCATTTTTCTGAAGGCAAACTCGACAATCGAGCTGCTAAAGTGCAACAATCTTGGAAAAGGTGGTCGACATCTATTTGCAAAAATGCATTTTAGTTTCCAGATCTCCCAGCCGAATAAAAAGTTTACCTATTGACCTAGTTTTTTTCAATTGGGTTAGTTGTCAAAAAGTCAGTAATAAATTTTTCTTGAAGTTCAAAGAGTTTTAAAGCCAATATTTTTTTCTTTGAAATGCTAAATTTGGTTTAAAAAAACAAGCCAGTATTTTTTTTTGCGTTCATTGACAATTAGTTAATTATCTGTTGGCTACGTAGTAGAATATTCAGGGGTTTTTTATACTTGTTTTTTTTTTTACTTTTGTGCTGATAGCTATTTAGTGTTTAGAGTGCTGAGAGTGTAGGTAAATGACTCTTGTGTCTCTTGACAAAATTTTGATGTCAATTTTTTAACGACTTTACTCTTTAAAAAGTTTTGTCAATTGATTTGCTTCTGAGTTGTAAGGAAACAAAAAATAGAACCTTAAGTCGAAAGTAATTGTTGAAAGTAATTTGTTTTATACTATTACAGACATCTGCCTAATCTGCTTTTTGAAAAATGAGTATTTGCCATGGTTAAGTTTGTCTAGTAAAGACATTAGACTCATTATTCAATTTGTCAGTTAAGACTTTACTAATCAAAAGTGAGTTGGAAATATGTTTCTTTGAACTTTTTCATTTTTTTTTTATAATCGCTGTTCTTTTTTGTAATGCGTGTGTTGCACAGCTCATCATCGCCCTTGTATTTGGATATTAAAAAGGTACTGAATGTGAAGAAGTTATTGAGTTTGAGGGTTAGTATCATAAACGTATTTTTAGGTACGATATGATTTTCGGAACAGGAGTTTGTGTGGTCAGGCGTTCTGCCTTGGCTATTCCTTCCAAATTGAAACAAAATTTTTCACCTATCAGTGTTTTTGTCTCAACGCCGTGTTCCGTCCGACAGCATAGGTGCTTGTCGTATTACACAGGAGTTCAAGCACGAAGTAGATCATCCTATATTATGACAGATAAAACTTTAGTGAATTACAATATGGTTGTCACTCGCTCTATGGGAGCGACACCTCCAAATCTGCAGCAGATCCACGACCGTGTCATGTTTGTGCTGAAGATGTTCGACAAGATAGACCCTGAAAAGCTGACGGACACTTCGCACTTTGCAAACGACCTGGGACTGAACAGTCTGGACCACGTGGAGATCATCATCCACATCGAAGACGACTTCGACACTGAGATACCTGAACATGTGATGGACAGACTGCAAACGCCCTACGATATCATTCAGTACTTGGGTGACAGGTACAATGCTTTTTGTCCCAGAATTATAATGTTAAAGTGAATGTTATGGTTTTTAAAGTAGTAACTTAAAAATTTATGCGTGTTGTCGTGATTTCTCGTCGAAGTAAAGTTGTGCTTTTTCCATCAAATTCAATCTTGAGATCGAGTTAAAGCTAGAATCAATTACCGGTGTTGTGAGTTTTAATTGGTTGAAGATTGAGCTTTTTCATTGCAACTTCTAGCTGTCTGTCTCTGTTATCAAAACCGCAAACAGCGCAAAAATTAGGTACTCAAGTGTTTCTGGATATCAGTCACAAATTCTTTATATAAGCTCAATGGACTGTTTCGGAATCGTAATGAAGCCACGCAATGAGTGTGTTTTAGACACAAAGTGGAAGACTTCGAGTACGTGCCAGAAACGAAAGAGGAGTTGTTAGACGGACACAAACCAGAAGATAAACACTGACCATCTGTTAGAAAGAAGCTGAAGGACATGTAAACGTATATTGTAGACATGACCTACTAAATGACACAACTGAATCGCTTATGGATATTTTGAGATTTATTCTGACATAAATTGAACCAATTAACTGATATTTTGTTACCTGCAAACTTAAATCATACGGCAATAATTTCTTTTCGAAGCAGGTAAATTAGCCCATTTTTCTCACCGTTAGTATTTACTATTATCGACAACAGGGATTTCAAAGACTTTATGTACCTTTTTTTAACGGTTGGCGTATTGATTTTCATTTATCAGATAAACTAAGTAGACAGAGCTTTAGTTTGCAAATTTAGGGAAGTTTTTTCAAAATATAAATTTGGGAAAGTTTTGAAAAAACTGCTTTTTTTGACGCGCGTACTATTCGCGTGCTTAAAAAGCATATTTTAGCGCCGATGCTACCTATTATTTTACATTTTATGGCTGGCAGGACAAAAGATATGCTGTAAAATTGACAAATAGTTCCTGCGATTACCGAGCGCGAAAATTGAACTGAGTTATTTGTATCGACTGAATTTTTCGAAGGCTTAGTCAAAGCCGATGAATCGTTTGAAAACTTATTAAGAGTACTGAACGTAGTCAAGAATCTTGCTGATTTTAGCATTTTTTTCAGGATAAAGTCTTAAAATGTGCATCAAAGTCTCTAATAATTACAGATGTGCATAGCCGTGAAAATTAAGTTTTACTCGACTAAAGTTAGTTTTTGGAGTTTTAAACGGCATTTAGGGAATCAAAAATTACAAAAAAAAAATTGCGAAAAGTGGATTTTTTTTTAAATTTAAACTTTTTCGGTTGTCTAGTATTTTTGGCCCGTTTTCGGGCTTCTTAATTTTCTCAAACCAACTAGCCAAATCTGAGATCGAGGGTTTTAATCGAAATAATAGGTAATGGGGATTTTGTCACAGTTTATTTCTCTCGGCGAAGTAGACCTCTCGCTATTTACGCACGAGTACACTATATTCTATACACTATAGTTGGTACTCTATACCTGTAGGGACCTATACACTATAATTATTAAAGCTGGCCCACCATTATCAGTGATCTAGTTTTCGGCGTACTTGTTTTCACTGAATCATTACGGCCCTTTTGAGAACTGTTGTTTTTATTTTATCATGCGTTATCAAATCGGAATATAGCCTTTTTTGGGTTAACAACTTGCTTAACAGAATCTCTTGGTTCATTGTGATATCAATTTTCAAAGCGTCTCCGGTAAACTTAGTCTGGAGGTAACGAATACGCCTCGGACTGCCAAGTTCCTAGGTTCGAATCTGAACAGGACCTTTTTCTAACAAGAAATTTTTCGTTTCAACAAAATTGTCGGCTTATCGTTTGTCTGCTTATGTTTTGTCGGCTTACTTGCCGCATCCCATAGTTTTTTTTCTGTATGTAGTTTTTATTGTAGTTGCTTTTTATGTTTTTATTTAATTCTGCAATTTGTTATTCTACCATTTTTTACTTGATTTCGGCTTATATATTATCGGCTGACTAACATAATTTGTGGGCCGTTCAAGGGAACCATAGTTTGTATGCTTTCGTCCGGATCGCACAAAACGTTAAAAATCTCAGAATATAATTTATTGATCAAAGTTTTTCACGACAATTTTTTCCGCTCAAAAATTGTTTTTAAAATTTCATTATACGCTGTGATTTCTGTTTTTGGACGTGTTTTCTGCAAGTAGAACATCATTCCAGGCAACATTTTGAAGTTTTTTTAGTTGTGGTTACTTCGAAATGTTTTCCGGATTCTGTGGACTTAGTGACTCTTCTTTCCTTTCCTTTCTGTTAGCTGGCAATGCCTTTTTGTGGTATTGCATGCGAAGCTAAAAAAAATTACTTATCGTCTGCTGTGTTTGGTTAGTGATTTATGCCTATTAAGCGTCCGTGGCTGTGTGGTTAGTGTGTGAGACGCATAATCTCTAGGTCGTAAGGTTCGAACCCGAGACGCAGTCGAATTTTTTAACCAATTCTGGGCTTATTTCTAATTTTTTATTGTACTTTTTAGAGCTGCTTTTTGTCGTGTTCTCGCTAGTGTTTGCGAAGCGAAGCCTCGCCTCGGTGTTATGATCAATTTTGATTGTTTTCTAGCATTTTTGAAAAAAAAATTTACCGTGATACGTCGTTTTAGTAATTTTTAGATGCGTGGATAGTTTTTTGTAGCTGTTTTTCTGAGACATTTTTTCTACAACCGCTTGTCCAATTATTGTCTGCTTAGTGGCCGCTTGATGAGTTTCTTTAAATACTATTTTAACATTGGCAATTGTGTTTTGTGTTTTCATTGCGTTGGAAAGATTTCAGGCTGTATTCTATCGGCATAGTTTCCTCTTAGTACGTGGCTGAAAGGGGAAATTTTTGCATATGTATGTGGTTATAACCGAGCATTTAAAAGAGTCTGAATCTTTTTGGGGCATAATAGCTGTCGTCTGCTATTCAACTGATTTACAAGGTTTTGTCTTTCAGTTAAAATTTGGTGTTGGTTTTAGGTGTACTTTGGTCTTATGGGCTACTCTTATCACGCTTGCGACTAGAAAGTGTTATCAAATGGAAATAAAGAATGTTTTCAGATTAACAAATTCTTAACAAAATCACTTCCAATGCAATTTCCTTAGTTTTTCCGGCATACCTAGCCTAAATGTAACGACCACGCTTGGGACAGCAAAGATTCTAGCTTCGAATTCGGCAAAGACTTGGGTTTTTTTAAACTGAGAATTTCCCGTTTTAAAAGAATTGTCGGCCTTTTTCTAACTTATCGTCTGTCTGTATGTTTAGTCGACTTAGTTGCACTATCAAGGATTGTATGATGCTGAAAGCCATTCCGTTGTAACTGACAGTAATTTCGATTTATTCCTGTAATTTATAAACCCCTTGACTTTGTATAATCCACCTTTTTTCGCTTAAAAGTGTTTTTTGGGCCTTTTTGACTTCAGATAATGTCATATCGGCTTAGTGACCTAGTTCAGCATCGCTTGAAAAGAAACATCTGCTTCCTTTTTTTGCAGTTTTGAAGGAGAGCGTAAAGTATTAGAATATCAGAACTTTATAGCTGAAAGTTTTGATGACAACACTTGTTTTCAGCTCAACGGACCTTTGTCCTATTTTTGCTACCTAATTTGCTGCTTGATACATGTTTCTTAATACTTATTTAGCGCCAGTAATTGTGTTGCTCTACTTGTTTTCTACAAACTGCTCAGTGAGACAAGCATTTGGAATTCCCACTTTTCAATTTCGACTTTTCAATTCATTTTTTGTAGCATGCAATGCTAATTTTGCGAGGGTCGTAATTGCCGCGAAGCTCCGCTTCGCCTCTGCGTGTAAACAAAATTGTCGCATTTTACCATGTTATCCCATTTCATGGCGAAATCATAAAACTATTCACTCCTGGAAAATCAGTTCTTGTACTTACAAAATCTTTCCGATAGCGGCTCCCAACGTATTTTTCCCTCTTCAAAAAAAATATAATTAGTTCTCGTTTTTTGAACCTATCATCGAGCAATTTTTTTAAATGCTGTTTGAGTTTTTTATGTTATTGATTCTATCCGTTGTGTGAAACTTGGTCTTGTATCTTTGAAAAAACTTGGAATACAAGTCAGCCAGTACGTGAGCGAACAAGTATTTATTGTCTAAATTTCGTAGTCAAGGTTTTCTTTTTAAAAAAATCTATAGAACTGTGTCATTGAGTTGTTTGGACAATCATTAAGATATCACCGGTAGCAGTCTGATGGGTGCGAGTTTCCAACGACCTGAGATAATTGACTTTTCAAATATAATAGTAGTTAACTGGTATTGATTGTGTTACCTAACGTAACCTTCACAATGAAATCGATCGACATTCAGCCACGTTATAGTTCGATTCAAGCTGCGTATCATTCAGTCCTTTTTTAGTTTTCACTAATCAAAGTTCTATTTTTTTCGATTGCTTTTCAGATTGTTGCTGTTGTGATGCGAGTTAGAAATTTTGCGCGGCTGACATGTAGGAGTGTCCAGCCACTGTACTTCTATGGCAACCCGCAATGGAGAGTGTTTCTGCCAAAGCACAAAATCACAGTGAGTTAAATTGCTTTCACTACAGGTTATCGTTGGCCCAGCCCTTTTGTAATCTTAAAGCAAACGCGTTGTTCTGTCTTTTCAGTGTATCATTTCATGAAAGCTCCCATTTTTGTATGCTAACTATTTTGTTTCAGCTTTTGAATCCAGCCCGACTGGACCTGCCCAAACTGCCGCATAATTATGTCCTGTTTGAAGTAGAAATGAGCATGACTGAACATGAATTGATGGACTACTTGAAGAATTTATACGAGGCAGGGTGACCAATCTCATACTTGAATGGCAAAAATCGTTTTAAAAGTTTTTGAACTCAGTTTGCTTTTTTCAAATTAAAATGGGGCGCTTTTTTCCAACTCAGAGTGAAAGCTACGTTGTAGGAGCAGTCACGCGGTGTCAATTTATCGTTGTCGGTTTTGCAATCGAGAAGTGTCTGTGACTTATAGATACTGTCAGCGCTACAGTTTAGTTGACACTTTTCACTAGGTTTGCCGCAGATAAGATAATAAGCTGAGTTTGCTTTTTTCTAACATTTTTGGTCGCCCTGATACCAGGTGCCAGTAGCCAATATCTGGATGACAGTTTCACCCCCTATTATGGGACAAGATCACCGAGGAAAAGTATACGTCAGCAAGCCAGAGTGCAGGATAGCCAGGGTTCTGTTACAGCAAGGATACTTCTTCGATTTTCCGAAGCTGTTTGAAAAAGTCGAAGTTGATTCGGACCTCAAAGCACCCACTGAAGTAAAATCAAAACAGGCCAAATACAGAGATGAAGTGAGTGAGAAACTGATGGGAACTGTGAAAGAATATTCGGGATTGACTGAAGCAGAAAAACGGAAGAAAATGAAGGAAGAAAAGAAGTTTTGGCAAAGACTACCGGGAAAAACTGTGCCTAAATGGTTCTGAGTACAACGGATGTATTATTTTTCTGGTATAAATAAAAATGTTTATTTTCTTTAGCATATGCGTTTTTTTGAGAAAATAGCGTTTAAAATCGAACTTAACATTTTAGTTTTCTCAACGAATTTATTTGATTTTTTTTTCTTAAAGAGATTTTTAAGAGTACTGAACGTAGGGAGTACTCTTATTTAGGTCTTGGTGATTTTTTTTTGGTTATTTTGAGAAAAAAACTTCTAAAATTTTGATTTTTTGAGGTTTGACATTGATTTCTTTTTAGGTTCACTGCATCTCTTGTTAAAAGGAGGGCAAACTACCTTTCCTCGAAAACAAAATGTAAAAGTCACGAAAAACGATGGGATCAACTTCTTTTTTCAAAAAAGGAATTTAATTATCAGATATCCTAGCGAACTAACAGTTCTACCTGTTGGCCCAGTTTTCAAATAGGGTTAATTTTATCAAAAAGCACTATCCATTAATTGTCTTGCTTTTTTAATTTTAATCAAAAAAGCCCTAGTCATAAATTTGAAGAGATTTACGGGCATATATTTTAAAAGTTCGAAAGTTTTTTTTTCTGTTTCCTTGCAATCATTACTCTTTTCCAACTGCCAGATGGCTATGTTTTTTTTGGATTTTCATTCGGATTTCGGCTCCTTTTTGTTCTGATTAATTTCGAATTGTGTGAGCAATTTGATTGAAAATGGTAATTTGGCATTAGTAGTCGTGAAGTAACTAAGACATTAAAGGAAACCTAAAATATAGTATTCCAACGCGGTTTATTATATTTGCCTCCGGTCTTAATTGCGTGGGTGAAATAAATACTGGGACCACTGTAGCCGTGGGGATTTGGACGCAAGACCATCGTGTTAAAGGCTGCGCGTTTTACCCATTCAGTCACGACCGCAAAAACCTCCGTGACAAAAACTTTTAGGCTTTTTTGTTTTTTCTAAAAATTAGTGGTGAAAGCCTAATCAACGGCAACACCACTGAAAATAAATAGAAAAATCAGTGAGAAGAAAGGCCGCCTAAAAGATATTGTCTCGGAGGTATTTTTCCAGGAACGTACGTACACCCAAAGTCTATATGCAACCACTACACTAAAAAGACTGTTACCTCAGCAGTTGATATTATATAATATACTGATAACCATTTCAGCGGTCGTGGCTGAATGAGTAAAACGGGCGGCCTTTAACACGGTGGTCCCTTTAAGACCAAAGGAAAATATAATAAATTCTGGATTTTTCCGGAAACTTTTTCAGGAAAAATCGTATAATTTGTTCACGCTCACATTTGATTTTTCACTTTCACGGTTTGGCTTTTGATTTCATGTAATGTTCTTTTGTAATCTTAAAGCAAACGCGTTGTTCTGTCTTTTCAGTGTATCATTTCATGAAAGCTCCCATTTTTGTATGCTAACTATTTTGTTTCAGCTTTTGAATCCAGCCCGACTGGACATGCCCAAACTGCCGCATAATTATGTCCTGTTTGAAGTAGAAATGAGCATGACTGAACATGAATTGATGGACTACTTGAAGAATTTATACGAGGCAGGGTGACCAATCTCATACTTGAATGGCAAAAATCGTTTTAAAAGTTTTTGAACTCAGTTTGCTTTTTTCAAATTAAAATGGGGCGCTTTTTTCCAACTCAGAGTGAAAGCTACGTTGTAGGAGCAGTCACGCGGTGTCAATTTATCGTTGTCGGTTTTGCAATCGAGAAGTGTCTGTGACTTATAGATACTGTCAGCGCTACAGTTTAGTTGACACTTTTCACTAGGTTTGCCGCAGATAAGATAATAAGCTGAGTTTGCTTTTTCTAACATTTTTGGTCGCCCTGATACCAGGTGCCAGTAGCCAATATCTGGATGACAGTTTCACCCCCTATTATGGGACAAGATCACCGAGGAAAAGTATACGTCAGCAAGCCAGAGTGCAGGATAGCCAGGGTTCTGTTACAGCAAGGATACTTCTTCGATTTTCCGAAGCTGTTTGAAAAAGTCGAAGTTGATTCGGACCTCAAAGCACCCACTGAAGTAAAATCAAAACAGGCCAAATACAGAGATGAAGTGAGTGAGAAACTGATGGGAACTGTGAAAGAATATTCGGGATTGACTGAAGCAGAAAAACGGAAGAAAATGAAGGAAGAAAAGAAGTTTTGGCAAAGACTACCGGGAAAAACTGTGCCTAAATGGTTCTGAGTACAACGGATGTATTATTTTTCTGGTATAAATAAAAATGTTTATTTTCTTTAGCATATGCGTTTTTTTGAGAAAATAGCGTTTAAAATCGAACTTAACATTTTAGTTTTCTCAACGAATTTATTTGATTTTTTTTTCTTAAAGAGATTTTTAAGAGTACTGAACGTAGGGAGTACTCTTATTTAGGTCTTGGTGATTTTTTTTTTTGGTTATTTTGAGAAAAAAACTTCTAAAATTTTGATTTTTTGAGGTTTGACATTGATTTCTTTTTAGGTTCACTGCATCTCTTGTTAAAAGGAGGGCAAACTACCTTTTCTCGAAAACAAAATGTAAAAGTCACGAAAAACGATGGGATCAACTTCTTTTTTCAAAAAAGGAATTTAATTATCAGATATCCTAGCGAACTAACAGTTCTACCTGTTGGCCCAGTTTTCAAATAGGGTTAATTTTATCAAAAAGCACTATCCATTAATTGTCTTGCTTTTTTAATTTTAATCAAAAAAGCCCTAGTCATAAATTTGAAGAGATTTACGGGCATATATTTTAAAAGTTCGAAAGTTTTTTTTTCTGTTTCCTTGCAATCATTACTCTTTTCCAACTGCCAGATGGCTATGTTTTTTTTGGATTTTCATTCGGATTTCGGCTCCTTTTTGTTCTGATTAATTTCGAATTGTGTGAGCAATTTGATTGAAAATGGTAATTTGGCATTAGTAGTCGTGAAGTAACTAAGACATTCAAGGAAACCTAAAATATAGTATTCCAACGCGGTTTATTATATTTGCCTCCGGTCTTAATTGCGTGGGTGAAATAAATACTGGGACCACTGTAGCCGTGGGGATTTGGACGCAAGACCATCGTGTTAAAGGCTGCGCGTTTTACCCATTCAGTCACGACCGCAAAAACCTCCGTGACAAAAACTTTTAGGCTTTTTTGTTTTTTCTAAAAATTAGTGGTGAAAGCCTAATCAACGGCAACACCACTGAAAATAAATAGAAAAATCAGTGAGAAGAAAGGCCGCCTAAAAGATATTGTCTCGGAGGTATTTTTCCAGGAACGTACGTACACCCAAAGTCTATATGCAACCACTACACTAAAAAGACTGTTACCTCAGCAGTTGATATTATATAATATACTGATAACCATTTCAGCGGTCGTGGCTGAATGAGTAAAACGGGCGGCCTTTAACACGGTGGTCCCTTTAAGACCAAAGGAAAATATAATAAATTCTGGATTTTTCCGGAAACTTTTTCAGGAAAAATCGTATAATTTGTTCACGCTCACATTTGATTTTTCACTTTCACGGTTTGGCTTTTGATTTCATGTAATGTTCAGTTCACTTCTATTAAAAGAAAGGCAAAAATTCCTTTCGCACAGCAAAAGTGTAAAGGCCACAAAAAACGAGTCTGACTCAAGTTTCGAAATTGGAATTTAATTTTCATGTTTCCCAGCGAACTAAAAAGTTAACCTTTTGGTCCAGTTTTCTCATATTCGGCTAATTTTATGCCAAAATGTTCGCTAATAGATGGTTTTAGAAATTCAAAGAGCTTTAGGGCTCTCTAACTTTTGTTGAAATTCGAAAGCTGTTGAGTTTCGAAAGCTGGCTGTTCTCGTTGGTTTCCAGGCTAAATTTGTTGGAACGATATTCATATATTCGATGGACTGTGATTTAGCAAGCCGGAAGTACTATCAAAAATTGATTTTCAACATGATTTTCTTGTTGTTCCGACTTTCGATACGAAAGTAACGGAATATTTGTGCTCGGGGTGGGTTTTTTTTTCTTCAGACAAATTTCGACTTTTTAACTAGCCATTTTTGACGGAATTTTTTTACATCATTCGAAAGCTATTGTTGTTCTGAGCTTAAATTTGAAAAGATATTGCACCTGTGATCATTTTTCGTAAAGTTATGAGGGTTTAAAGATTGCCATTTTGGCCAATTTGGGTCAATTAACGCGCGACATATTTCGCGCTATTAACGCGTAAGCGAAGAGTTAATCCGTCTTGGAAATCGTTCCAAATTGGTTGAAAGAAGATTATATGCCGTAATTGATTTGTTACAATGAGCGAAATCTATCCTTTTGTACTTTATATGGCGTGTGGGGGGATGATTTTCATGAAAAATTTCAAATTTTAGAATTTTTTTTTTCATTTTGTTTAATTTAATTTTTTAATGTTATTACTGCTCCATAAACATTAAAAGGCAGTCGGAACATTCAGGGCCTCGCCCTGATACGAGCAGTCTTGTTGTGCTTTTTTGCTATTTTTTCTTCCATTGTCTATTTTTTTCTCAGCCTCTTTTTCTGGTCATGAGAAAAACTAATTTCCAGGTTTCGATTTTTTTTGAAAGATTTTGGATTAATTTAGTTCCATATTTTTTTAATGTGTTGTATTTTTTTTATCTAAGTTGGTTTCTATATTAGTAATATTTGAAATTGTACGTTTTGAATTGCTTCATTGCTCGTTTTCTAGTAATTTAATGCGTTGCAGCCAAATTCAAAATGTCGTTGAAAGTCAGAACTAAATGCTGCTAGTGTTATCTCCTCCGAATGTTTTTAGCTGATAATATAAAATTCGCGATGCGCAACAGTTTTTTTGGTTTTTTACTTTTCATCGACTTATATCTTTCTGCATTGCATGTGGTGCGAGACTCCGCTTCACCTCCTTTCCTTTAATAAACGTCTAAAAATTGAAAATGCAAATTTGAAATGCAAACCTGTATTTATTCAAGTGACTATTATTTTTGCAGGGATCTGGAAACAGTCTGGTTATGACATCAAGTTGTGTCATATTTAGTTTCAGTGCTAATATGGATAAAGAACAACTTCGCAAGCAGCTCGAAAGTTGCAAAAAGGGTTTCATGGACTCAAAGTACTCAGATTGTCATAAGGCACTTCAGAAAATTGTCAAGGATTGCGGAGATTCTAAGCTGACTTCATCCGCTAAGTTGAAACTCAACTCATTGGTTGTAGAGCTGCATAAAAACAAGTTTTACAGCCTGGAGAGTTTGTCACAACTTGTAAACAGCGTTAAAAAGGCGGCTAAGAATGGGAATGGGACTTCGTTTTCGCTTCTCGGTATCGACGTTTTCGATGACAACTCTTGTGTGTTTAATTACAATTGTTCACTATTCTTATTCTACTCTCAGCAGCACGAAAATGCGAAGAATCTGTTGGCAAAAGTTTTATCGAAATCCACTGATAGTTACTCAAATGTGGAAGACGTTTGTCTCAATTGGGCTAAAATAATGGACTGTGCCAAATGGGATACTGTTTTGAAGTATAATATTACCATTTTGTGGTGCGAAGTTTGTATAAAGCTATGGGAAAGTGGTCTTAGTGATTCAATAGAACGAGATACCAGTCAAGTTTTGAGCTGGTTAGAGGCTAAAATCATGGAAGAAAAAGCCAGCGCTAGCTCGAAAGATTCCAAAAGCTTGGTTGAAAAATGGGTTCATCGACTGAGCATCTTGAAGAATAACGTTCTTCTAACCGAAGCTAGTTTGAAAAGCTGCAAGAAAGAAATGAGATCTTTGACACCTGCGAATAGCACTTATACAAGTCAAGCAGTGCCGGGAATTTTCATACGAGCAAAGTATGAATACTTGAGAAAAAACTACATAAAGAGCATGAAGTTGCTCCAAATTCAACATTACAAATCACACTCAGAAACCGGAGAAAGCATTCCAATGATGTTTTATAACAATCTTGCATGTATAAGCCACCAAAACGGCAAGCACGAGTTAGGAGTCCATTACTCGAGAAAAGCGTTCGCAGAGTTAGAGAAAATAGAGCAGCAAGCAGCAAAAGGCGGCAAGAAAATAACATCTAATAACAATGGAAACGGAACCAACGCGAGTACAAGTCATTTGCATACAGTTTCGGCTATGCGATTTTACGAACTACACTATAACATGGGAACATATCTGTTAGCAGCAAACAGACCTGAAAAGGCATTCGATTCGTTTTTCAGCGCTGTCCAGATGTACTACCATAGTCCAAAGCTTTGGCTTAAATTAGCCGAGTGCTGTATTGCAGCGCATACGAGTAAGCTGCGTCCGACTTGGAGTTGTATGACGACACATGAGAGAGATCCAGTTGGATTAGAGCGGGAGGAAGTGTCGTTGACGAGTTTCGGCTCGGGAACCAATCATAAATTAGTGGTCAAAGTCGTTGGCGATAGTTTGGAGACATGTCAAGAGGACGTGCAATCCGCAGCCTTCCCAGCGGCGACTCTGGGATTCGGGTCTATGTGCGTAGAGAATACTCTACTTCTCGTGGTAAGCATATTTAATATGACTTATATTTAATGTGGTCTGAAAATGCCATGAACTATTTTTTGCAACATTGCTACAAAGCGGTCGCTTATATTGACACAAACGGAGCGTAGTGTAATACTACGATGCAAATTTTTTTCCGACGTAGGCTGCAAGTAAACGTGTTTAGGTATATTTCCAGCATAGGCTGTTCAATAGCATCTGTTTCTGTTTTTGTGATGGCTAGTGTCATTACCTGTTTTTTGATAAAATCAGGTATTATAAAATCAGGACAGACCAGCTACTTCCCTACGTGCCTGCATATTCGGCTTGTCTCTTCCATACCCCACGTTGTACGGCCTTAGAAAACTTCAGTGAGAGGAAGTTTTGACCCATTTATTTGGGTTCTTTATTTTCTCAAAAACATGCCTTCCAAATTTGAGGTTCAATCAAAAGAACAAGTTATGGGTACCTTTTTTTTAGTAAAATGGCTACGCCATAATTTTTGTCGTTTTAGTCAATTTTTATTTTCCTCCAAAAGTGCCCTCCCACATCTGCGATTAAGGATTTAACCGAACTAACAGTTTTATAGCAATCTTTCTTGCAAAACCTATCCCTTAGAAAGTAGTTTTGGCTTCTTTGACATTTTGACCATTTTTGACCACTTCTCTTCAAAACGGCTGTCTCAAATCTGGGACTTAGGGATTAAACGAAAAAACAAGTTCTGGGATCTTCTGTGCATAATTGTTAACTGTTTTTTTTGTTTGATAGCGACACCGATATGGACTTGAGAAAAGTTCAATTTTTGATATTTTAATCGTAATCGTTTTTGTAAAAATGTTTCTTATCTTTTCAAACGGATATTGTCTGATGCGTTAGCGCACAACCCTAATTCAAAGTTTTCATCATTTTTGGCATGAAATTTTGCTGCATTGTATTTCTTTGACTTCAATGAGCAAAGTATTCGAGTACAGATTTTTTTTGAAATTTGCAGCTCATTTAACTGAACGGCACTTGAAAGTTAACTCACATTGAACTAAATTTCTCTGCCACACTGTCAATTTTTGTAGCGTCGTATGAGCGCCAAGTTACAACTTTGATTTTTGCCATCCTTCATTGAGGGTATCTTTTTTGCCATCCTTTTTTTTGAGTCGATGAACGTAGTAGATTTTTTATCGAGTAGATTTAAAAAAAAACTTTTTCAGGAAAAGTCCTATAAACATTTTTTTCAGCTCCTACAAAAAGTCCTAACTTTTTTTCGGGAAAAACCCTTTGTTAAAAGGTTTTGACAATTTCCATTATCGAACAGCAAAAGTGTTAAAGGTCAGAAAAAAAACATGATCGACTTCTAGTTTTGCAGCTGGAATTTAATTTGCAGATTTCCCAGCGGACTAAAAAAAATTTACTTATTGAACCAATTTCACAAATTGGGATATTTTAGTTAAAAAGGGTCAATCATAAATTGATCTAGAAATTCACATAGTCTAAGGATATTTTTTTCTTTGTAATTAGAAAGTTCTTTGAAAAAAAAATAGGTCAGATTTTATTTTCAATTTTATTGCGTTCCTTGACTTTTTTCCAGCTGTCTGTTGGCTGTGTTTTTGTAACTGGAGAGTTTGTTAACGTCTATCCCTCATCAATTCCAATATCACGTAAACGACCTATTGTTTATTTATGTCCAAAATGTGGCAGTATTTTGATACTTTTGAATCGCGGTTATTAAAAAAATATATTTTTGATTTTAAAAGATAACAAGACTGCTCGTATCAGGGCGAAGCCCTGAATGTCCCGACTGCCTTTCAAGGTTTATTGAGCAGCAGTAATACATGAAAAAAATTAAATGAAAAAAAAATAAAATGAAATTTTTTTTTCTAAAATTTGAAATTTTTTATGAAAAACATCCCGCGACACTCCATATAAAGTACAAAAAGATAGATTTCGTTCCTTGTAACAAATCAATTATGGCAAATAAGCTTCGATAAATCAATTTGGAACGATTTATAAGACGGATTAAATCTCCGCTTACGCGTTAATAGCGCGAATTATATTGCGCGTTAATTGTCCCAAATTGGTCAAAATGGCAATCTTTAAACCCTCATAACTTTTCGAAAAATGATCACAGGTGAAATATCTTTTCAAATTTAAGCTCAGGACAATAATACCTTTTGAATGATATAAAAAAATTTCGTCAAAAATGGCTAGTTAAAAAGTCGAAATTTGTCTGAAGAAAAAAAAACCCACCCCGAGCACAAATATTCCGTTACTTTCGTATCGAAAGTCGGAACAACAAGACTGCTCGCATCAGAGCGAATCCCTGAATGTTCCGACTGCCTTTTAAGGACTATAGAGCAGCAATAACATAGAAAAATTAAATGTAATAAAATAAAATTAAAATCCCCCACACGCCATATAAAGTTTAAAAGGATAGATTTCGCTCCTTTTGGAACGATTTTTAAGACGGATTAAATCTCCGCTTACGCATTAATAGCGCGAAATATATCGAGCGTGAATTGTCCCAAATTGGCCAAAATTGCTATCTTTAAACCCCCGTGACTTAACGAGAAAAGATCACAGGAGAAATATCTTTTCAAATTTCTGCTCAGGACAACACAACTTTTTGAATGTTGTTATAAAAAAATTCTGTCAAAAATGGCTAGTTAAAAAGTCGAAATATGTCTGAAGAAAAAAAACCACCCAGAGCACAAATATTCCGTTACTTTCGTTACGAAAGTCGGATCAATAATAAGCGTAGGCCTCTGTGGCAAAGTTTGAAGAATAAAACTGGAGTCGTGGAAAAATAACTTTATCATTGCCAGTCCTTTATTTTTTAGTGTGTCCTTCAATCAGGTAATTTCCGATGCATATTGTATATTTGAATAAAAAACTTATATTTTTAGAAAAATCTATCGTTTTCCAACAGTGGGAACTCAATTTCGAATGGAGATTTGAAGTCCTTGAAGCTACATTCTCTAACATGTGGAGCATACATCAATCTATGCATTGGCGATTACCTGAAAACTATCAACTATTGTGACCAAGCGATGTCTATGATGGAACAAATAGAGGCAAAACAACATGAGATGAAACACATTATCCTTTTATACAAAGCAGAGGCCTTAGTTCATATCGACCAGACTGCGAAAGCGCTGGACTATCTAGCCTTACAGAGTAACCAAGATGCATTTATGATTAAGAAGAGCTCAGTTGAAAATGAAGTTTCGGATGCAGAGAGTTATGCTAGTATTGACAAGTGGGTGGCATACATGTTGTCCATGGCTTCGATTTTTGCTCTCAAAGGCAGTTATGATGAGTGTAAGAAAAGAATCCAGATGGTAGCTTTGAACTTGACTCAGCTGCAGAAACCCTTGCCGACCGAATGCTACATGTTAGCTACTTACATAGAACTATGCCACGGCAACCACGCATTGGCCGTTGAGATTGTGAAGCGTAAACAGATTCCGAGCTATGAAAATTTATCGTTTAGTAGCACTAAAACTAGTACAACATTCGTGGGAGCAACTTGAACATTTTTCCCCCAGTTGTGTCAAAAGCTTACACCTTGAAGTTACATTGAAATCAAAACGCGCGAGGAATGAGAACTTACTGTTAACTCAATTGTTGTTCGCTTAAAGCTTAAATGCAAAGGAAATAGAGGGTGTCACTCGTACGCTAAGGACCGAATTTGCGAAAATTTAGTCAGCCAATCAGAATTAATTATTCGAAGGAAATAAGCGATAAAATGGGGCAGTACAACAGTGCCGAAGTACAACAGTGCCGAAAATGCAAAAGTGTTCAACAGTGACGAAAATTGATGATTTTCGGCACTGTTGAACACTTTCATTTTCGGCACTGTTGTACTTCGGCACTGTTGAACGCCCCCGATAAAATCAGTCAGCTTAAAACAGTACAAAGGCATTGATTGGTTGAAAATTTTTGAGCATTCGGTCCTTCGCGCATGAGAATAGCTCCGAGGGAAATAGGCTGTGTAAATTCTAATAACGTAAGTGATATAAATGTTAAATTTTATAAAAAAAATATTTAAAACTAGCTCGGCTGTTTTTGAAAAAAAAATTGAAAGCTCACAGTACCTAGTTTGAGTAAACTTGTATAGTTGGACAAAAAGAATAAGAGACATGGTGCCTATAAAGAGGAGTTTGCACAAGAACGGGACAAAGGTATGAGTGAGCTGCGATTCAGCAGCATCTTGAAATTGAGATTATATACCATTTCATTAGACTGTCAAAGATGATTTGTATTACTTTTATAATTCAGCAACTGCATGTCTTCTGGGAGCAGTGGAGTCTTTGACTGAGCTAACTAAAAACAAAAAAACTGATACCATAGGAAGATTTTGAGAGAAAAATAGAGCCAGCTTGCGCAAAGTGGTAGGCGGTACCCTCGTTCAATTAGTGAACTGTTTTAGTCTGTAAACTGCATATGGAACACTCTCAAACTCGTACGCTATTAACTGGTTAATTTAAAGGAATGATAATCGTTTCGAAAACGAAGTGGAAAACAAAACTTTTTTTAGGTCATTAAAAAGTTTTCACGCGAGCATATGGGTAAGTTTGAGAGCGTCCGATTGAAATTTCGGTCCCCTACCATGGTAATGCGAGGAGAAGATCTCAATTGATCTCTACCTTCAGATCTACCACAGCATGTCCAGTTGTGGCTGCAATAGTAGTACCACATAATCATTCTAGATGGAAAAAACGGCGTTGAATCGCTAAAAAAAGAGCTTTGTGTAAAAAAAATAACTCAATCTTGAAAGTGGGGAAATAATTTAAGTGGACTATCCTAATAGGCCTGTTAAGGCTTACCGATAGCTCCTCTGTAATTTGCAGGAAACAAAATTAGAGTAGGTCGAGTGATAATATATCATATTAAAGCATTTTCTAAGGTTCGATCAATAATTTAACGTACACTATTTAGCAATATAGAAATGATTTACTAGGATTAAAATGAAATGAATGAAAAATCAAAAATTCAGAAAAACAACTTTCAAAAAAGCGTTTTTAGACCACGAAAATTTTCAAACATTGTAACAGCGCAGTTGCAACCGAAAACATCCTGCTACGAAATTACCTGCACCATTAGAAACTCAACAATAAGCATTCGGCATACTAGAAAGATTCTGAACCTTCAAAAAGCCTTTTCTGTGGGATCTAAGAGCACAAAAATAAGCAGACATACGATAGCTTAAATAGCCGAAAAATTTCAGGTGGCAACAAAAAGGGCCCGACTGGAGTTGAAATTGCGGGCTTCGTCGTCTCAAGCGTGGGTTTTACCACTGTGCCAAATTCTCCGGCAAGTAAAACACTAAAATAATTTCACATGCGAGTTCTGTGAACAAAGTTATTTACAGGAAAAAAGTCTAGTACCCGGTTGCAACACCCTTGCTATTCGCAAAAGAAAAAACTATGGTTATTCGTTCTATTTCTTAGTTATCCCCTCAAATGTGCCGAAATTAAAAGTCTAGATAATTTGAAAGATTTTTTTTTCAATAGGCAACATGGATGGTGCTCCAAGCCTTCTGCACTGTTTGCACCACAACAGCCAGCTTTTTTGTTTAAAATAAGAATTCGGTCAAGAAATTCAGTTTTTCAAATTCACGGAGAGAATCATCTTGCGAACTGTTTAATTGAATTTTAATTAACTGCAATTTTTCTGGGACATTAATTTTTTAGAAAACGAAATTTAAAATCTAATGCACATAATTATGTGAACAAAGTTCAAATTATATTTCCACATTTGTAATTTGAAAGTCACAAAATTTGAAAACGTGGGCTGAAATTTTTTTGCAGGCGCATTCTTACCTGTTTTTTTTTTGCTATCCAGATTAATCCAGGTTATCCGCTTTGGCCTTTAGTTCTGTGACATGGCTTCTTCGGCGATCACAATGACTACTTACTGTTGATTGCCTGGGCTGATAAGGATTTCCCAGGCATTCCCACACATTCTCTGAGAATTTTTGCTGAATCTGAATCACAAGCATCGTTATTACGATAGATACAGGTGTTTATTCTAAAAGTTTTTGAAATTAAGTAACAGTATGGAAATGTGCCGCTTCTGAGGTACTCACATGGCGACGTGATTGCTCGGGGAATTGTTGAAATGAGTGATAATGCACATATTCATAGTCTCATACTGTCAGCTCCAGGTAACTATCGCTATATTTTTGCACAATGACTTGATCACTTTCTTACATTTACAAGACAAACTTATAATTTATTAAATTAAATTAGCAGCAGATACATTAAAACCACAAAAATACCAGCTTTAGAGCCATGCCTCAATGAATGTGAAAATCCCACTGATCTAAATATTGCGAATAAGGTCAATACATGTTCCCAATAATATTTCCCCTTTACAAGAATTTTTCCCAATGTTGCTAGACAAAATATTGAGAACGTTCCCTTCTCAATGTATCTTAGTAAAACAAATGCTATTGAAGTGTTGAATATAATTAGGTTTAGGTTATAAATAATCGGCAGATAACGACTACATAAGTACTATAATTATAAAGACAATAATTGTTGACCGGTATCTAGGTTTCATCATCAACCTTTTTTTTTTCAAGGCGCCTCTTTCCTAAGGTGCTTTGGAACGCAAAAGTCTTTGTTCTTCAAAAAGAAGGTTCCAAATAGATGGAAATAATTACCGACCTATGTCTCTACTGATTTTTTGGAGTAAAATATATTAACTAGTAAAGTACAACCGCCTACATTTTTATCTTGAAAACTTCTCGCTTTTATACTCGAAACAATATGGCTTCCGTAACAAACACAGTACAATCGATGCTTTAGCAGAGCTAACTGAGCGAGTGAAATTAATATCAGAAATGTTTTAAATTGGTTATAAACTTAACTTGGCCACGCATTACTTATGATTAAAATGAAATAACATGTGGCATTCCTCAGGGGTTAATCCTCGGACCGATATTTTTTCATGTATATTAACGATATTCCTTTGTCATGAAAGTCGGCCCAGATACTCCTTTTTGCTGATTCTACAAATTTAACAGCCATAAGTTGCATACTCGAGTTTTCAAAACCACACCTAGAAAGTTTGAATAAATGGTTATTTGCGAACAAAATGGATCTAAATTTTTTACACTGGTGGACAAAATTAAGCACAAGTTCAGGATTTTACTCTGTAAAATGCCTGTTTTCAAAGTAGATTTTGGACAACATTTCATTCGAAACTCAGTAGTTTTTTACATAGACCAAGAGCAAACGATCAGAGCTAGGACCAGTGAATGTGTCAATATTTAGTTTCAGTGACTTAACGATGTTATCCGGGTCTGAAAATGCCAGTTTTCCTCATCTGCACAGATTTTTTTAGTTTGCGTGAATAAGTAACAAACGGTTATTCAAGAAATACTTCACTACGATGCAAAACTTAGTGCAGATGAGGAAAACTGGCTTTTTCAGACCCGGACTACATTGGTGAGTCATTGAAACTAAATATTGATACTTTCACTGATGGTAGCTCTGATCATTTGCTCTCGGTTAATGTAAAAAAAAATTTCTGAATTTCGATTGAAATGTTGTCCAAAATAGACATTGAAAACAGACGTTTTACAGAGTAAAATCTAGAGTTTGCCCTTAGTTTTGTCCGCTAGTTTGAAACAGTAAAATTGATAATTGTGTCTAGTGCTTCCAACTGTAATTTGAAGTTCAAAGCTTATAACATGAAAGCCAAACCTGTTTGCAAGTAATTGGGTATTTTAGGTTGATTGTTAGTATTATTTCAGTAGTCACACATAGTTTGTCAAAACGAGACTTGGAAAACAATGTGGTTTTGTATCGAAACTAAGACACTATGTTCAAGGTGCCCACCATTAGACGACTACTGCAGCCATGATGTGCCTATTATACAATATGGTATTCTAATTATAGATGCAGCAGCTACACTCCATCAAACTCAAATTCATGTATTTCAGCACATGGCAGGATCACTGTGAGGACATTTTTGATAAACATAAATTGCCAACTATTTTCAAATACAGCGTTGACAAACTTTTGAAAATTTTCTTCAAATCTGTCAACAAATTACTTAACAATTTTTTTAAACCAATTCTTTTCTTTGCTAGATACTTGGAAAATGTTGATACACCCACAAGAAGATCCAGTGCTAATTTACTTCGTGGACCATTTTGCAAACGGAAAATTGTGCAAAACAATACAATGCAAAAGATGTGCAATACAATATAGAGCTTGCAAGTTATATGACAAACTGAAAACTTCAGATTTACTGCCGATCGGTTTTGAAAAAAGTTCATTAAAAAATATTCCTTTTTTATACCACAAATTCGAATTATCGCTTTTGATTGAAGTTTCAAATTGGTTAAATATGTTTTTGATTTTTAATTTAGTATTTTTTTTAAAATAGAAGATATCGAGGTTCTTAGATAATTTTGAATTTTCTCTCGGTTTTTTCGACAAAAAATTTTTAAAAAATCCTTCCGATTTTGAAATTTGTTCTAACGTGAAAACGCAAGCCAGTGACATTCCGGATTGTTCTTTTAAGTTGTCGTTTCGAAGCCTCAGAATTTTATGCTATAGGATGTAAGTTAAGTTGCTGCAAAAAAAAGTTTTTCTTAAATTCTTTTTTCTTCTCAGTTTTACCTTATTCTTCACTAAACAGATAGTGACACCTTGTTACCTCTATAATGTCGCTTTTATTTTTTCTCAGAATTCTGATTTAAGAGGATTAATTTTTTTTAAGAAAGTGTTTTTTTAATTTATTTTTATGAATATTCACCGTATAGGGGCAGACACTAGTAGATCCGAAGATCTCTTTGTCTGTCTTCTCTAAGTCTTGGAAGTTGGTTATATTTATATGTCTAATTTATAATTGGATAAATATTTTTTTCTTTCTTACGTTCATGCAACCAATCATTAGACCCTGCTACTTATGGTAAAGCTTCTGTCTAACACCGTCAGCGAAACATTTCAGCGACGATGTTGAAATTCGTTTGTTCGGACGAGGTTCTAGGATTAACTAAGCCACAATTTGTGCAAATTGGAAAACGAAAAG